CTGAGCAAAAGAGGCTAATGAGGCAGGAAGAACAAGTACAAGGTGCCTTGTTTTTTAAAGGAAAGTACAAAGTGTAAACAAGCTATGGTATGAAGAAGTATCAGCAACAGAAAGAGATGGTTGAAGGCAACAAAGCTGCTGATAAAAGTGATGCTTATCCACCTTGTCCTTATTGCAAAAAAAAAAAAAAAAATCGGCCATTTTCCAAAATGGTGCTGGTACAGGCTAGGAGTTCAGTGTAGAGGTTGTAAACAATTTGGACATGTTCAAAAGATGTGCAAAAATCTCAAGGAACAGCAATCCAAGCAGCAGGCATAGGTTGCTTAAAATCAGCAACAAGATCAGCAAGAACACTTATTCACAGTTACAAATCACAAGATGTGTAGTGATGTTGGAACATGGCTATTGAGTAGTAGTTGCACACATCATATGGCTTCAAATTCCATCATCTTTGTTGAACTTGACAGCAATTACAAATCAAAAGTGAAGATGGGAAATGGTGAGTATGTCAAAGTGGAAGGGATTGGTGTGATTTCTTTGCAGACTTCAACAGGTATTATTAAGTTTATTTCTGATGTTCTTTATGTGCCAAACATAGATCAAAACTTGGCGAGTGTAGGTCAGTTGATTGAGAAAAATTATACACTCATATGCAAAGATAATTGCTACATCATAATGGATAGAAGTGGAAATGAAGTGATGGTAGTTCAAATTAAACAAAGAAGTTTTCCTTTAGAATGGAAAAATATGTCATCGCATGCATTCTCTAGCACCGTTGAAGACTTTTCTCTTTTGCATAAACATTTTGGACATGCAAATTCCACCTCACTTAAGCAATTGAACAAGCTGAAACTTGTAGAAAACCCGTCTGTCATTTGTGATGAAAGATATGTTTGTGATGTATGTCAACTTGGAAAGCAAACCAGATTGCCATTCCCTAAAAGTCAGTCAAGAAGAGCTACAAATAAGTTGGAATTGATCCATTCAAATGTGTGTGGTCCAATGAGAAGACAAACTCGTAATGACGGTAGGTGCTTTGTACTCTTTATTGATGACCTAACAAGGATGTGATAGGTGTATTTTTTGAAAATGAAATCAGAGGTTGCTGGTGTCTTTCAAAAGTTCAAGAATCCAGCAGAAAATGAGAGCAATAAAGGCCATTATGATAGACAATGGAACTGAATACGAGTGTGATCAGTTTGACAAGTTCTGTGATGCCATTGGAATCAAAAACTAATTGATAATTCCTTACACACATCAGCAAAATGGAGTGTGTGAGAGAAAAAATAGGACGGTGATGGAATGGCCAGGTGTTTGTGTAGCGACCCAAAAATAAAAAAACTTTCATAATTGATTGAATATTCAAAGCACTAATCAAACACGCTTGAAAACTTGGTGGAATAGTCAAGACATTTAACAACAAATTTAAATACATGAAATGAAACATCAAATTATTCTTTTAATTATTTAATGATATGAAACAATTTTTTCTAACTTTTCATTTCAATTTATTCAAATTTCTAACGTGTGAGATTTATACATGGAATTATATAAACACTATATGTTTCATTTCAATATATATATATATATATATATATATATATATANTTGGGTTTCGAGAATCCGGGGCGTTACAACTTGGTATCAGAGCCAGGTTCATTTTTTGTAGACTCACATTGAAAGTAAATCTTTGAAGTGTTGTGTCACATATAAGTTGAACGATTTTTTTTTCTAATGACGATCCTGAGTACTGTGCCTGCCATGCTGCGCCATGAAAATTTCGAGGTAAAGATGTAAGTGTTATGCCCTAGATCCAATCGATTTAGGTTGTAAACGCTTTTAATATATTTAATGCATTTGATTTTGGCGAGATCTATTATTTATTTAAATTAATTTTGTGATAAATAATATTAAATAATAGAATCCGAAGACCCAATTTTAGGTAATCTGTTAATCACAAGGAGTTGTGATTGTGAGATACAAATTACATATAATTGGATCTTGAATAAACCATGGTCGTAAGTAATAACGAGATACGGATATCGTTAATACAGTTAGACCATCACGTGTGGCATTTCTTACTT